TTGTATTTATGCCTGGCGCAATGCTTAGCAATTCTTGACACTGTCGTAATCATACCCTTTCATAACACGCACCATAATAATTACTAATTCGTTACTTGCTTATCAGTTAACAGCTTGAGAAAGACCCAGATCTACCCTCGAGAACCGCAGGCTACCAGGAGAATGTGGTAGTCGATCAGTCAGTCCATCGGTAATGTGTGTCCAGTTGGAAACGTATATCCCTGCGAAGATCGTATCATAATCGCGACAATTAAATGCGTCCAGATTCACGTTGTATTGACCACACCTTATGTGATGAGAAACCTTAATTATTTGCGGTAGATTTTCACTCCTTTTTTGAACAGTGCAATTGAGGGACTGAACTCTGGTCGAGAATCTCTATCAACCGCACGGAATCGATCGCTTCGAATAGTTTTCTCAAAATTTCACCACAACAATTGTACTCTTTAGCATGGTTTTCCTTTGCTTTGTCAATTGCAACTTAGACTGATTGCGTTACGGTCACCGGTCCCTATTGAGTTGTCCGTTTTTTTAGTTTCCAGTTGAGTGTCACAACGCGGCTCTTCATCTCCATTGCTCTTCAGTTTCAACTGGCGAGGATGTTCGACAAAATACCTTGTCTCTGTGGCGTTGAACTCCACTCAAAGAACACACTCACTATACCGACAACATCGATTCGCTGGTCGACAATCGAACAGCAGTCTATCACGTTTGGAACCGCTAGTTGATATGTGCTTTGTACCATCGAAATACAAAAGGGGCTTGTAGGAGATTTGCAGGAGTTTGTGTCTGTACTCACCATGTGTGATAAGCAGTTAGAGGTAGTGCAGAATTTTTCCTACCTCGAAAACGTATTCTCAGCTGTAGTGTTGAAGTTGAGAATGGGATCAAATCACGAGTAGTAGAAACGAGAGTCGTTTTTTTGTCAACCTACAACACTGGTAACTGTTTCCCACAAGAGAAGAATGTTACGGTTCGAGATCTGGTCTCCCTCCACACACTCACTGTGCGGACGCTAATCGATATTTCTGTTTTTGGTCACCGGTATCTTCAGAGCATTGCTCGTATCTGATGGGAACATCGCTAGGGGAGGTAGGCAAAATCGAGTTCGTTGTCATCTGTTGCGTGCTGATCATTGTCCTCTGACAGGAATTCGTTGAACCGACGCCTTGGTAATATTTTTGCCCCGGGCCTCTCCATCGTCTGTCTTTTCGTCGTACTCTGTTTGCACATGCTGCCCGCGGCTGTACAAACTGCGGCCTTGCGGTCGGGGTGTGAAAACCAATCTTCTTCTTTGCTATCGAATTCATCTGGTGCGCAGCATCGCTTTCCGGTCGGGCCCCCTAGGGATGCGGAATCACTAGTCCGATACACTGAGAGATTTGGCTCCGGAATAGAAATCAGTCGTGTGAATGCTTTCCAATCTGTCTGTTCAAATTGCGTGTCCCTATTTAAAAAAAAACCAACACCTTGTTGTTGTTGTTCTTCTTCTTCTTGCTGTCCTGTATAATCCGTTCCCCCCCCCCTACCTGATATCTTCACTGTTGTCACGTTTGCACCATTTCGGAACTGCTACTGTTTATCTACACAATATTTGTTCAAACCATATTTCATTCATTTCATTTTCGTCTGTTTTTTTACTTCCTTTTATTTAATACACAAATTTTCCGGAAGGGGGAAGCGACCAATTAAACGGCTGCCAGTCAGTACACAATGGGGGTGTCAGGCAGTGGTGGTGGGATTCGAACACTTGTCCTCCAGGGTGATAATTTGGTGACTTTACCAACGGACTACCATGGCGGGACAGTCCGTTCGTCGCTCTTCCCAATACTACTTTGATTCTTATATGACTCGTCACCCAAGACTATAGGATTTAGGTAAACAGTTCACAGAATCAAGAGTCAAAGCTCTCCCCTCCATAGCGGTTACATATTTGACTGTTTTTTTTTTATCACACATTTGTGTGATGAACAGCAGACGGGACGAACCCCATAGTCACGAAGACTTAATGCTCCCATTATAGAAACCGGTAACCTAAGCCCCAGGACTTGGAGTGTCGAAACACTTAAGGCCCCGCTAGGTTAGGTGCTGTATTGAACCGGACGACAGCTGTCTGTGATCATGATGATGATGATGATGATGCGTTGATCGGCAATGGCTAGTTATACAACACGTAACATTAAGCCCTTATCCCTGTGTTCTTGACAGACGGTTANCCTTATCCCTGTGTTCTTGACAGACGGTTATCTTGGAAGTCATTGCGCATTGCATCACCGTGCCGTCTCTCACTTCCTTTCATCCTCTGTAAACCAATCCGTTGTCACGAATTGTATCTTTCCTATACAGAATATCTCTCGTTCATCCCCTCGTCCACTTTTTCTCCGCATCTCATCTCAACAGACTTTGGAGAACAACATGTATCGTGCACCAATCTATTCGCACACAATGCCCGGCACAGATTTTCTCCTCATTCGTAACCGGAACGGGATCAGTATACGTCGTGTGCAAAATGTGTTCACAGTCGGTCAGGAAGTACCTCTCATGGAAGTCCCCGGACCGAATTCGAAACGAGCGAACAATTTTGTGCGTGATTTTCTCCAAGTGTTCATATTGCGCTTGTTTTTGCGCAGCACGGACGAACCGAAACGGATCAAGATTGAGGAGATTCGAAAAGCATTCCCAAATCACAGCGAGTCCAGTGTGCGCAAGCGATTGAAAGTGTGCGCGGATTTCCGACGTACCGGTACGTTCTTATTCTTATTGGACATCCTATATACTACAATGAGTGGTATCTCAATGCCTGAAACCAGTCCCCTGGAAGCACACGACCGGTCTCGCAGTTTTTGCCGTCTCTTAGGCGTGCATATATATATATATACTTTTCATTTTACTTCCTTTTTATTCAATATACAAAGATATAATTTTCAGGAACGAGTAAGCGGTCAGCCAGAGGGCTGTCGTTCAACATGCAATGGGGGGTGTCAGGCGGTGGTGGTGGGATTCGAACACATCCCCGCTGGGTGATAATTTGGTGACGTTACCACAGGGCCACCACCGCCCACCAGTCCAAGATGTATATATATATATATATATATTTATGTATCACACTTAACCAATTACATGGAATTGACAGATATGCCACAGCATATAAAGAAAGAGATGTAAAAACAGTTTAATTATAAATCAATGAAAAGGTGCGCTATTGACGCCAACAATGTCTGCAAGTGTCCCAAGTCATAGATGTTCGCTGTCCTTGGGACCCCAACTCGGGAGTCTAGATCGTCCTACCACTGCCAGTTTTGAGGTTAAGACCTTTCATTGTTCGAGCCCAGGTTATTCGTTGTCCACCTTGTCGCCTCTTCCAGTTAGTATCCGCTTGCACAAACATAACACGACGGGGCAGTCGTTGAGCCGGCATCCACAATACATGTCCATCGAAGTCTATGAAGCGAGATAATGACACTCAGAGCACGACTGAGGTTTTCTGCGGCGAAGATTCTTCGGCGAACCTCGTCGTTGGTGATTCGCTGTTGCCAACGTGTTCTGGTGATGCAACGAAGACAACAGCGGTCAAAGACACTTAATCTCCGTACGATTTCTGCGTGGAGAGGCCAACCCTCACAACCGTAGAGTGGGTATTGTAGCATCAAGGAGAAACCAACCACTTGGTAACTGCCTTCCAGATGGGCATAGTTTCTAGGGCTGTCTTGGATTTGTGGGCCACAGTGATATTCACGGGTTGGGCTATGTTCTCCACTGTTTCAAAGGGGAAATTCGTCATATATATAGCAAACAAAGCGTGAACTGAAAAGCTAGGAAACACTGGACAGCTGTTTCGACCTCGTTGGGTCTCATCAGCAGCGCGAATCCATCGACTCAAATGGGGATCGAACCCAGGACCTTACAGGCAGAACATAGACATGCTATCCGCAAGGCCACCCCGGGGCAGCTGATCAAACCCTTTTTCATTTTTCATTTACACTGTGACCGAGGGGGTAGCTTGCTTTCGTTCTGCCTGTGAGGTTCCTGGTCCGATCCCCAGTTTGGTCGACGGATTCTCCATAGTTCCCGAAAATTTGCTTCTGTCGAACAGCATCGTTTTTTGCTTTAACCTACAAACCGTTTGTACCAAATAGAGGTATGTAATCGGTGTTGTCATTATTTTCGGAATTCCCGCTGTCCCTCAATATGTGTCTATTAAGTGAAGTGAATTACGTGTATACCACTGACTGCTCAGGTGACCAACCAACTACCTGTTCTTGTCTTTCCATACTACTCTCCCGGTTGTTGTTAGCTTTCTGTCAGCCAGATTCTATGTTGTTTACCACCAGTTCGTCGTTG